CCAAACACTTGACTAGCGCTGGAATTCCATTTGCACAGATGACATCAAAAGCATTGACAGACTGGCTGTTTTCATCCCCACCCGTAAGCAAGTGTTCAAGCACTGCTATAGCAGCGTCCTTGGGCTCTATTGCAAATTGAAAATCATCTAAATCTTCAATTTTTCTCTGGATTGACTGGACAAGTGAGGGTATGAAGTTGTGAGCCGAAAGCTGAGCAAAAGCTGGCCTCAGCTGGTATATCAGAACAACAGCCTCAGCAAGCCCATTTTTGAACAAAGCAGCTAGGCAATCAAAATCAGAATCTACACTGGTTAGAATCTCTCCCACACTTTCATCTGAAAATGTTAACTCAGAGAGAACGTAAACTGAAGTTTTAAGAGCATCTCTGCTTACAGAAGCAGAGAGTATTTCTACAATCCCATTTACAATAGTTGGCTCGGATAAATATGAAAGAACTGCAGGATCACCCTTTGAGTCCTTCCACAATTTGGCTACTGCTGACACCGCTGCTTCACATTCTTCTAAGTTTTCTGAAGCACAGAGAGATGAAATATAAGGTTTTAACCCATTGATGATTGTTTCAATATTAGCTTGAGAAATTACACTGGTTGGTGATGTGGATACTTCTGCTCGGGCAAATCTTTTGCTCCTCTGATGCATGTGACTATCTGTACTGTTACGAATATGAGTATGACTGGGAGAATAAAATGTTCTGGATGCAGTAGACACCAACAAATTTTCTCTTAAGGAGGAGGGGCTGAATGAATTCCTTGGTGTTTCAGAGTACGAAAATTCCTGAGCAAGCTCTGGATGCTGCTCTTTCCAAGATGTTATGAGTCTCTTCAAAACATAATTTGTTTTGGGCAGTGAGTTTGCAGAGAGAGGTTGGCGAGTAATAGGGCATGTCGTGTTTCCTCTTTTCACCCATTCTTGAATTGCTTTTCTCTCATAAGTCTGGCCAGTTTCAAGGGTAACTGGATCATTAAAAAGTTGGCCTGTGATAGGGCAAACAAAATCTTTTGGTGGTCTTGAACGGGGAGTCGGCATCTCTGATGTAGGAAGTGAAATGTAGCTCTGGCTTCCTTCATCACTCTCAATAAGTGAACTGCATAATAATAAAAAAGATGTATATTTATCAATACTGAAAGGAAAAGAACAGCTTGAATACCGTAAAAGATAGCCCAAAGAAAAGAGAGAACTTTTTGGCTACCTATTCTCTAATATTTGGTTGTCGACATTGTCGTAACTCATCCTCCTTGTTCGGCTACGGTTCTTCCTGGCACTTCTCAGCAGACCCTAGATTGCAAAAATGCTATCAGTATAAATGAAACGTTCCAAGTTCGGATGGAATTGGCAAGAACTCATCAAAATACAAGGCAAAGACATACTATCACTTCAACATCTGAGTCTGGTGAGCTACTGCTGTAATCTTTTCTCAAGCGTGGAGAATCAGGTAACGAGGTAGCACTAACAGAATCCGTAGCACGGCATGACAGAAGCCGTAACATTGTTGTAGGTTGTTTTTTAGACTGCACAACTGGATCAGGAGAACTAATCTTTGGCGAAGTTCTAGGGGAATTTATAGGAGAGGATATTTTGGGAGAATGCTTTTGGCTCTTTGCTTTAGCTAGCCTTTTGCTTAGTCCAATTTCCTTAATCTCAGTTGATTCTATGCTGCGAAGAGTTACTAACTTCTGATTTTTATCTTCAGAATCAATACAGGTATCACTTCGCTCACAATCAAAATCTCTTTCTCTGTCCTCAGGCATGGCCTCCTGACATAATAAACAAGAACACAACACAGAATCAACTATAGTTCATCACAATGTGACAATTGTAGTATAGTTGTCGGTCTTACTTGATGATCACATATAACAGACTCTTCCAAATTAGGTGACAGGTTTGAAATTATCCTCAATCTGATCACAACCACATCCATCATAACAATAACAAGTTAGAGCCTTGAAAAAAGAAAATGTTCAGCGTGGATGTACAATAAAATAAGAACCAGAACATGCAAATGGCTGTATCCATACGTTCCTGACTGAATAGTACTTTTTCATTTTCGACGCTGGATGTAGACTAACCTGCTTTCTGCTCTCACACCACGTTTAGATCTAAGAACTGGAGAGAAACCAGCACTTTTAGGCAAGATGGGACCAAATTTCACATAATCAGGAATCGACCGGCTAACCTCATGCAGAGGAGTTGCTGGTGGATCTGCTATCGGCAACATTGGAATCATCTTCTTGCTTGTTGTTGAGTCAGAATTCATGCAGTCCTTGTAGTATTTAGCAAAAAGCCGCGTATTTTCATCCAAGGATTCCCTGTAAAGCTCCTCCAGGTTTTGCAATTTTTCCACCTGATCTGGCCTCATTGAATATATCAAAGACTCATTGAAGAACTGATCCAAGTCAGCAGTAAATGACAAATCAAAAGAATCAGGAATTACTTCCACCATAAGTCTGTGCCTAGCTTCAGAATACCAACCAACAATTGAGCTCATCTGTGGAAGAAACAGGTCTTTCCAGAGTTCAGGGGCAAAATCAATTCTCGAGAAGAATGGATCAACAATAAACATCTCAAGAACATGAAGAACAGAATTCTCATCATTGTTACGCAATTTCCATAGGTATGAAAGGTAGAGGCGGGCCCAAGCAGAGAGGTAGAAATTTGGGACCCCAGCTGTTCTTTGGTCAGAGTTCAACAAGGCACAAACTTGCAGCATCTTCTCTGCATAATCTAATCGTGCCAGCTTAGTCTCCATATTGGAGGTGTCAATGGCTTCTTCAAGAGCTTCTATACCCCAATCCAAATTTGCTAATACTGCTTGATCGGAGTATCGAACTTCTGTATCTTTGCCACAGCTCCCATCTTCAGCTGCTAATCTCTCAGCACACTGTTCTTTGTGCTGGGTTCTTTGCTCTTTATTGATCAAACGATCTTGTGTGAAACTTCCCACAGTGATAATCAAGAACCTCGCAATATCCTTTTGGTCCATCGCAAACCTATAGCTTCCTTTCATTTCTGAGGAGAGAATCTCAGCTTACAGATTCGCAATCAACTGCAAGAGCAAACAATCGTCATCTTCCTCTAGCACGTTTCATCAGAAGTAAATCAAGGCAAAAATACCATGCTTTTCAAATTCATATCTTTTCAAATTTCCCTAGTTTTTAGCACTATAAATGTAGCAGCAATGCTTGGACTGGTTAAGGATTGATCTACCTTCAACCTGGAAACCTCCATCTATAATTCTATTGCATCATCAATCTAAAAGCAATTACCAAAACTTCATAGACAGTATTACACTATGAAAACAATAGTAACTCAAGACGTAAACACTCCGTCAAAAATTACAAGCAGCATTGGCACTGGCATTGACAAAGGATGGCAGTCTGTCAACACCAAGAACAAAACATTCATTTAAAGAAATAAATAAAGAGTGCGATCGTTCTAGAGAAAAGTTCTTACAGTAAGGTGCAAGGCAACTTCATAGGAATTCAGATTACTTCGTTAACATAGATTATCAAAAAGAAAAAAGGGATTATTGCGTCAAAACATGAAATTAACACAAAGAAGAGATGTGGCCCCTTAGACTCTTGTTGGAGTTGCCGGCTTCGATAGTTGTTGTGTGCTGATCAAAGCAAAACGTGGACTATTCATTTTATATTTACTAATCACAGTTTATATCGTTATTATATATATTGCCTTCTTTGAGTAGATGACAAGAAGAAGAAACTTTGCCGTTTGGCTTAATCATTGGACATGTCTAATCATCTTTTTGGTGTTTGTTTAACATTACATCACTGTTATTTTTAAAAAAATGTATATTAGAATAATAATTTTTTTAAAAAAAAATATTAGCATATTAAAATAAAAAAAAATATTAAAAAAATAGCAAAAAAAAAATCAAAATATTTTAAAAACACGGACACTCAGCATAGATAAACAGCTCTAAAACCACTCCCCATCTTCTGCTCATTATCGTTTAGCATGGTTTTTCAACTTCTTTGGGCGGGAACCCAGTCCACATGAGCCGCTGGCCCATAGCCCAATCCATAAATGGTTCAAAACTAATTTGTATAATTTATAGAAAAGGATGGCAATACATCGAATCCACTTTGTACCCTATATTGTGGTTGAGGAACTCGGCCGATAGACGTAAGTTTTAGGTTGTGTTCAGTAATAATAATAAAAAAATATATGCTTTTTTTTTCTTCTCAGTTTTCCATTTTTTTATTTTTTATTTTTTAATAAAAAATAATAAAAAAATTATTTTCTGAAAAAAATTATTTATATATAGATTATAATTATTTTTCATAAGGTTCAAAATTATAATTCATAATTGCTATCTTAATATTTTGTATTCATGATAATATAATTTTATTTAAATTAAAATTTCTCATGAAACAATTACTTTATCAAAATATAAAAAAATAATAGTTCACGTGTTTGTATATAGAAAAAGTTTGTAACCAAAAAGCTGTAGATAGTTTTTAAAATGTGGTTTCAAAATCAATATAAATTTAAAAAATTGGAAATATTGATTTTTTAAATATAAAAAATATTTTATTTAAAATTAAATTCTTAATTTTAATTCTTTTTAGCTTTAATTTCTCAAATATTATTTTGTTTTTTCATCCAAATAAAAAAATTAAGTCTCGTTTAGATGGGCTGAAACGGGTAAATCCATACTGGGTCAAATTGCTATCCAACGGATATTGTTAAACAAATAAAAACCAGGCCGCCTCTAAAAAAAAAAAACAAATAGTAATTAAAATTTATAAACATCGCCACGTGGGACATAGAAACCTCGCTTGTCAGTTGTCCTCTGTCGCCACGTAGAGTATAAAGAAACTCGCGTCAACAATACGCAGTTTTAAAAGTCTCTTTCCAAACCCCACCAGATCCATCCACGTGTCCACTACCAACGGCCAAGATGAAACTTCAAAACAGAGTACATAAACACTCCCTCCCTCCCTCTATAAAACCAAGCCGCGGTCCCTTCCATTGGCGCAGTCCACAAATTTTCAATGGCAAACCCTAAAGTCTACTTCGACATGACAATCGGCGGCGCCCCAGCCGGCCGGATCGTGATGGAGCTGTTCGCGGACACAACTCCACGAACCGCAGAGAACTTCAGGGCTCTTTGCACTGGAGAGAAAGGCAAAGGGCGAAGCGGCAAGCCTTTACACTACAAAGGCTCGACTTTTCATCGAGTGATCCCTGGATTCATGTGTCAAGGAGGGGATTTTACTGCGGGGAATGGAACCGGAGGAGAATCAATCTATGGAGCGAAATTCGCTGATGAGAATTTCATAAAGAAACATACTGGGCCTGGAATTCTGTCTATGGCTAATGCTGGGCCTGGCACTAATGGGTCTCAGTTTTTCATATGTACAGATAAGACTGAATGGCTTGATGGGAAACATGTGGTGTTCGGAAGAGTTGTGGAGGGTATGAATGTTGTCAAGGCTATAGAGAAGGTTGGATCTAGTAGTGGAAGGACTTCCAGGCCTGTTGTTGTTGCTGATTGTGGTCAGCTTTCTTGAGGCACAGGATTTGTGATATGCTGGTGTGTTTGTGTTTATGTATCTATCTACATAACGAGTCTTTAATTGGACTCTGATGGTGTTTCTTCAAGTGTTGCTGTCCTTTAATGATCCTAATGAGATTTTACAGATACAATAATTGAATGAATAATTTCACCTTATTGTTTGGCTTCGCTTTGTGTGATTATGGGCTGCTTGGATCTGATTCGAGCCTTGATTCGGGTTGATTTTCGGTTCTTGTTACTGTGCTTTCGCCCCTCTCTACTGGGGTTTTCATGATACTGGCAAGCGGTTTGGTCAGCGCTTTTAGAATTTGAGCATTCTTGCACTCCATGGAAATCGGTAGACTTTGGTGAGAGACCAGAGGGCTTGAGTTTGTATCGAATAATTAAGGTCTTGAGGAGTAGTTGAATTTTAAAAATGTTTTTAAAAAGAATTGAAAATTTTTTATTTTTTATTTTAAATTAATATTTTTCAAAATAATTTTAATTTATTGATAATAAAAATAATCTTTTGAAAAAAAAAAATCATACTTCCAATACAGACACTAAATCAGACAGTACTGTTAATGAAAAAAAAAAAAATCATACTTCCAAAACAGACACTAAATCAGACAGTACTGTTAAGTGTGTATTTGAAATTCTATTAAGTTGAATTTGTTGGTGAGACAAAATACGCTCTGTGCCGTGACCTTCTATAGCGCCATTGCTTCATTCTATAGGGCAGTGAACTCGTCGCTATCTTGGTTGTGCTGCTGATTAAACCTGACCGGCCTGGCAGGTTGATTTGGAAGCTGTAGTGGTCTGGGTTTGTTAAAATCCTAGTTGGTGTAATGATTTGGCTAAACCGCATCATTGGTGGGTTAATTAGTAATCCGGAAAGACTTGGTATGTTTCTTTTAAATGTAAAATTTTAAATCTATTAATATATATTATTATTAACTCGACGAGATTGATGTTGTTAAAAAGCCTAAGTCTCGAGTTTATAAATTAACTTAAATTAATTTGAATTAATTTAAATTAATCTAAAAAAATAAAATTACAATATTTTATATAAAAAAATAAAAAAAATTATATAAATATATACATATTATAAATAATAAAATTTAAAAAAATATTTTAAAAATTATCTCATATTTAAAAGATATTATATTAAGCTTTTCAGTTAAAGTATTTAAATTAAAAAAGTTTTTTATCCCATATTAAAAAAAATAATTTTTTTCTTAGAAACAATATATATTAATAAATTTTAAATCCCACATTAAAAAAATATTTTTTTTTTCTTGTGAATATAGAATACATATACTAAAGGGTTTCAAATCTCATGTAACTTTTATCCTTAAAACATAAAATATATATATATTAATGGGTTATCCTTTTAAGTTAAAATATTTGAACTAAAAGTTATTTTATCTAATATTAAAAAAACATAATTTTTTTTGAAACACGGAGTATATTTAGTAATGGATTTCAAATTCTACATTTTAAAGAAAAAATATAAGGTCTCGCCCAGTCAAACCCAGTTGACCTAGGAGAGATCATATTTTTTTATTTTTTTTGCAAATATTGGATTTGAAAGTCGTTAGTATATATACTTTATGTTCCCAGGAAAAAAATTATATATTTTCAAGGTGGGATAAAAAACTTATTAAACTTGAAATGATAATATAGTATTATTTTAATATGGAATTTGAAACCCATTAGTATATATATTTCATGTTCCAAAAAAAAAGTTATTTTTTTTCAAAGTGGATTTTGAAACCCATTAGTATATATACTCTATATTCGTAAGAGAAAAACTATGTTTTTTCAATATAAGATTTGAAATCTATTAGTATATATACTTTATTTTTCTAAGAAAAAAGTTATGTTTTTCAATATGGAATAAAAAAAATTGGTTTAAATACTTCAACTTGAAAACTTAACATAATATTTTTTTAATATGGGATAAAAAACTTTTTAAAATATTCCTCTAAACTTTATTATTTACAATATGTATCATTTATATTTACATGGATTTTTTTAATTTTTTCATATATTAAACTTTAATTTTTTTCAGATTGATCCGAGGTCAACCTTCCAGTCAAGCTTAATAATTATAGTTACTGGAGACTCAAGATACGAGAGCACTCGTCTCAAAGTGGACTTGCTACTGTTTAGATGCTTGTAGGAAGCATTCATTAGCTTGCTATTTAGATTATTGGTGCAAAACTTTTTATTTTATCACATATTATTATAGATGAGTTGTGAAATTTTTTATTTTTTTATTTTTTTTATTTTTTTTAATGATTTAATCTTGATTAAAAGACTCATTAATTTTGATTTTTGTATAAAATGATGAGATGAAAAAAAAAGAGAGATTAAAATGAAAAAGATATCAAACATGATAGTGAGTTTTGCAAAAAAAAAAATATTCTAGTTCTTGAACTTTAAAAGTCATGTAAATTATATAATTTTAGCAACTCAATATTTTTTTAAGTCTAACTTTTTTATAACTATTTTTTAATCTCTAGTTTATAGAGAAAAGAGAGTTTTATGAATTCTGACCGTATAAATAGAAAGTTTCATTTTAAACCATTAAAATTGATAATATTTATGTAAAATAATTTTATTTGATGTTTAGAGTTCATATTGGGTGTTTTTTACCTTTAAAATTAATAAAAAAAAACATATATGAGCTCAGATTAATTTTTTATTTTGGATTTAATTTGATTTTTTAGGTTTTTTAAGGTCATAGATAAGTTTACCACAATTTTTATGATGTTTTATAGATTTTTGGATCAAAAGGGGTTGAAAAACATGTTTTTAGGTAAAAAACTTAAGTCCTTATTTTTTTCAAGCATTGTGTTTGGAAAAATCAAACGATGAGTCATCTTTTTTTTTTCAAAATAGTTTAGGGAGGACAAGTAAGAATTAAGGGTTCAGTCGTGCGGGGCATGATAAAATGGGTTTAGTAAATATCAATATGAAATTTTATTTTAATAAATAAATTTAGCAAACACAACCGGGTAAATATCTTATTCTTTAAAATTAAATATCTTAATCTATATTTATCTCTTGTTTTTTAAGTTTTATTTTTATGTATCGTTAATAACTTTTTATTTATTTATTCGCACATGTGGTTCTCAATTTATTTGATTACATGCATGTATAAATTCTTTTACTTGAACTTAAACTTTGTAAATTACATAAATACATTAAAAAAGTTATATGCCTAATTTTTTATATGACATGAAAAAACTGACTCCTAGTAAAGGTATACAAGTTTTTTTAAATGAAATAAAAAAATCTAACTTCTAGTAAAATGCGGATCACATAACTATTACTGCTCTATATTCTATACAGTGACCTTTCATCGCTCCATTCTTACATGGTAAAGAACTTGTCACTATCTTGGGTGTGTTGTCGGAGGCTCAAAATAGAAGAGAACACATCTCGAAATGGGTTTACTATTAAAATGCTTACTAGCCATTGAACCTGTGCTTCTACGTAAATTATATTTTTTTTTTCAAAAACATACAAGATATGCAGGTTACTTCAATGCATTTTTTTCACATAAAAAATTCAAAATATAAATTGAAAAATCCATGCAATTAAGATTAAGATATTCCATAATATAAAATGAAATGGAAACAAAACAACTAAAAAAACTTATATTAAAAAAAGACATGCAAAAATTATAACCTAAATCATAAGACTAAGATAAATTTACAAAAAAACCTTGAAGATGATCACAAAAGCAATATTGAAAAAAAAAACTAATGCAGAGCTATAAGATCATACAAATTTGAATTCCTAATAAATTAAATGTCAAGCTAGGAAAAAAAATTAATTACACAAAATGATAAAAACAAATAAGTGTGAGAAAAAACATTAATTAGATTGGATAAAAATTTTCAATTTGAGGATTTAATTAGATTGAACAATAACTTTAATAAAAGAAAAAATCATAAGAACAGGTGTTAAACTGAAAAAAATAAAACAAAAAAATTAATTAAATAATGAAATTGAAAGGAAAAAAACTTTAACAAAAGTGTCAATGATAGAATTAGAAATTTTACAATATATAAACCAAAATAAAAAATAAAATATATGAGAAATTGCAATTGAAGGACTAAATTAAAAAAAAATAAAAACTTATATAAATGAAAAAGAAAAAAATAACAAATTAATAGAATAAGAGCTGAAATTGAAAAGTAAAAAACAGAGAGGATAATAATGTACATTACTTGTCAAGAGAGAGGAAAAAAAGAGAAAAAAATTCAATGACTATTGACAACAACTCAATCATAGTAAGTTGTCATGTATCATTCCAAATAAAAGAGGACATTATGACACATTTATAGAGATGATGAAAGGGCAATTACGTTTACTAGGTGGCGTCACATACATTGTCTAAACGGTTTGAATGTTACCTACGTGCTGAGGCGTGCCCAACACACTCCATCAACTTTAAGCACTAAAAAAAAAATACAAAATTGTCTATATGACCTCAACAATGACACAAATACCCATATAAAATTATAAAAATATTCATTATATGTTAATCTTATATTCTATATCTTTCAAGGTTAAAGATGTTTCAAGGTTAAAGATGAAATTGTACTGTACATTAAAACTTAAAAATCCTAAAACACTCTTATCTAGCAAAATATAATTTTTTTTTACTTCAAAGGTAAATACATATTTTTACTATTAAGAAACTTATGCAAAATTTTAAAAAATTCTTGATCAATAGTTATATATTTTGTTAATTTTAGGGACAAAAAATATTTCAATCATGCAAAAATAAATAAAATCAGCACACCACCCAAGACACTCTCTTTTTTTTGGATCAAATAGCACAGAGATATTTTTATTCTAGCCTGAGATATATTTTAATATGGATTGAGCTATAATAAAAAACCCTGTCATTCAGTGTTTTTTTTTTTTTTTAGGGTAGAAGGAGAGCATTCATGAGCTCACTTTCTAAGATGCTTCTCCGTATTTGACTACATCCTGGGCACAATAACTAAGTATACCAGAGTTGCATCCTTTCCGGTCATCTCAATGCTCTATTGCCCATACTAGATATGGGCTCGAACTCATGCATACCAAACTAAACAACTGCATTATATAAACCTTACTCCTTGACACTAATACTAGCATTACCAGCAGGTTTTAGCTTG